CAAGGTCCCCATCACCTGCCACAATGCTCTGCAGGCCGCTTCTACCTCACTGGCCCCTCGGGGTTTAGGCTGAAACAGCCATAGACATCTGGGGTCTCCAGGGGCCGTGGGACGACCCCCCCCAAAAGATGTGTGTGCAGAGGCCCAAGGGGGAAGAACGCGGCCACACAGGTGACATGGCCTTATTCCCACTTAGACAGGTGTGGATGGGTCTGTGTGTAAATGCAAGGAAGGGCCCGCCCCACTGAGACGTTATTAAACCACTTCAGAGTTTGCTCTTCTGTCTTATCTGCAAGGAACACGCATCATTTCTATCATAAAGAGAAGGGAGGGGGTGGGGGAGCTAAGCTTTTTTTTAATCTACCTGTTGACAAAAATGCCCCCATGTCAGGCCTGTGGGATTTCTGGATGTTGCATCTAAATCATTAATTTTCCACCCTCCAAGCCCCAGGGCTGACACTCAGCTCTGACGGGAAGAGCGTCCGAGTCCCTGGGCCCAGATCCACCTCTGGCAGGCACTACACAGAGCTCCCGGGGGGCTGCATCACCCACATCTGCCATAAACCCCGTTACTCCAACTCCAAGGTCCTGAGCCAGTTAACTAACATGGCTTCTTAGGGCTGTTCCCAGTGACGCAGACAGGGAAGCAGAAAAGGGGTCCTTGGGCTGAAGGAATAAATCCTTCGCTGAAGAGCCATTCACTCGAGTGGTTTCCCCGAAGGAGCCCTAAAAGCTAAGGCCCGGCGTTCTGAGCAGACTCCAAGGATGTGGCTTCCAAATGTGAACAATCCGTCAGGGGACACCTCGTGTAGCTCCAGGACTCCTCCTGCGAGGAAAAGCCCGTTTGGATAAACCTGGAAAATCCTCACACTCATATTTGGGCACCTGCTTTGGCCCAGCCCTGCACCAAGCTCTGGGGACACAGACCAACCTCTTGCCTTCAAGTTCTTTTTGGTGGGGACACCACAGGCACCAGTGACTCAGGTGCCGTGGGGCAGGCCCTCGCTGTCAAGGGCAGGTCAGGAGAGCTTTGGAGGGGGAGGGAGAGTGCCACGGAAGACCTCGGCTCCCCATAGAGCTGGTCCACAGATGACCCAAAGGGGTCAAACCCCATTCACCAAGACGCTCGTGGCACAGAGAGAAACACGGCCCATCGTCTGTCTGTCCGTTTGGAGACCAGTTCAGAGCCGGGTCCCGATGAGCCAGGCTGTGGCCTCTGAATGGGAAAGGGAAGTACCCTGGACACTTGTCTCCTCCCATCTGTGGTGACACAAGCCTCACTGAGCCAGGCACTTTCCCGTCCAGGTAGGGAGACCATAGAGCCACTTTATCCCTGTTGTCCCAGAATCATTGCTGATACCGTCTCTCTTTACTCAACACATCCTAGTTTGCGGGGGGGAAATTATAGTCACTCTACCCAGGTCCCCATCGACACATCATGACAATCTCAGATGTCTTCCGGCAGCTCCAGCCTCTAGCCAGCACAAGATGTAGTCACACCTGTGTCTCCACCTTTCCCCACCTGCTTGCCTACTGCCTCCGATGACCAATGACTGTTACCTGCACTGCAACCCCTCCCCGCCCCCATCCTCCGGCCTCCCTCAGCTCCCTCTATCACCCTCCATCCACTTCTGGGACCCCCACCCCCATCGCAGCCCTTGGCACACACTGACACCAGTCTGGCTGCCGCCTTGCTCCCCACCATCTGTGGGTTCCTTGCAGACACAGGCTGGTCATTAATTTCCAGGTCCTTCACCTGCAGGCCAGCACCTGGCTTCCAGAGGTACTCAATAAATAATGTTTGTTAAATTAATGAACCACCATAGATCATGGCTGCTGTCAGAGCCCAGGGAGTCAGCTAAGTCTGAGGGCTCCTTTCCCCTCCCTGGTCCCAGCACCCTGCAGAAACGTCACACTCGGGGACAATCATGTCCCTCCGAAGGGTACAGGGGGTCTGGTTAGGCCCCGCCACTGACCGGCCAGGGGCCCCGGGCCTCAGAGTCCCTGAGGGTCACAACACCAGAGGCTGACTTCGTCAGTGGTCTCAACAGAGCCCTGCAACTCGGACATTCTGAGCCTTGGAAGCCTGGCCTTATTCCATTCCTCAGGTTAGAAATTGGGCCCAGCAACATCTGCCACAAGCCTCAAAAAACACCTGACCCACAATGTCACAGGAAGGAGCTGAACCTACGGAAATCGTCACACCACCAAGATTTACACACGAGGACGTTCACGGCAGCAGCGTTTGTCATGAAGAAAAACTGTCAACAAAGCACGGTCCACCCACGCGATGTAACGCCATCTGCCATAGAAAACCAAGTTTTCATATTTAATAACATGAGGAAATGGTCACAACATGATCGGTGAATAAAAAGGCGACTATGAAATAACAGCTCGACTACAAAAAAATAAAATAAAAAGGAAAAGCATATAGGGAAATATAGAAAGAAAATTCACCCAAAATATTAATAGTGGTTTTCTCTGGACAGTAGGATTATTACACATTCGTGGGCAATTCATGGGATTAAATTAGATGAGTGGGCTTTATGTAGTTTTCTGCAGTTTTCACATATTCTTCTACAAACATAGTCAGGAGGAAAAAAAAGTTAAAAGTCAGTCCTCCGTTGTGTGAAGCCATGGTAGGCAACGAGGGGAAATGCTGAAAATTGTGGAGACTCACGTGTCATCAGGTCCTTTCCCAAAGCCTGTGGCTATGTGTTTGGTGGATGTAACTGACATAAACCCGAGGAAAAGCAGGACTTGGGCCCAGAAGGTCTCACACTCAGAGGCTGCCAGGAGAGCAGCCCACCTGTTGAAACCCCTGCCATGGTTGTTTCCCTAGTCCTTTCTTCAAAATGCAAAGACAATTTCTGGGTTTGTCAATGGCCCGAGAACCCATCCAGTTTCACCCACACTTCTGCGGGCCCTGCAGACAGAGCAATGGATCAGGGGTCTGATCTCCCTCCCGGGGAAGGAGACCCTTTCGTAAGTCACCCAGCCTCTACTTGCACACCTCCAAGAACGGGGGGCTCACTACAACCCACACAGCTGGGCCCTGATCATCAACCTGGGATCAAACATCCTCCGTCCCAGCCCACCTTGCTCCCATGGCCTTGCCTTTACCATCCCAAGTCCTGCTTTGTGTTCCATCCGAGGGTGGGGCCCAAGGGCGACAAAGCCCATCCCCTCACCCCTCCATCTCCAGCCACTCAAAGAGCCCTTTCTTCTCAGGCACAAGCAGCGCCTGACCTCCCCTAGCACGCAGGTGAGGCAGTATTTATAGCTCAGGAATAATTGCATGTTAATTCCTTTCTGCAGATTAGCAACCAGAGTTTCAATTCCCTCCGCTCTGAGCTCTGAGGTGGGGAAGATGACTGACACAAAGCAAGGGGCTGCAACACATGCGTGAACGCACACACATGTGCACACGCACACGCACAGATGCTCAAACCCAGCCCAGAGCCCCACCTACCCCACCCACACCCACACCAAAGTGATTCTTACACGGGCCTCAGAACGAGGAGCCATCAGCCCCCAACTCCCTTCCTCTCCCCTTCTCCCAACAATCCAAGGACCGCCCTCCCCCTTCAATGAAGACCCCCCACTCACTTTCAGGTGAGCAAGCCTCTTCCCACCAGGTGTGGGTCCATATGAGAATCTACCCCGGTCCTGACTGTCGTCACCGTGACCCTGAAGCAGGAGGGGCTGATCTGTTATCCCAGGAACTTGGAGGCCAAATGCCATTTCCACTCACCAATGGCTGGGCAAGACCCCACCCCTCACACAGCTACCCGCTGACCCACCCTCCCCTGTCTAACCACTGTTCTCCGACAGTCCATCTAGAGACGGCCACCCTGTTCTGTCCACTGAGGAACAGTGCCCAGTTGGGCGTCCTGGGGAGGGACCCATTCTCCGGGCGGTGGAGGAACGGAAGCCCAGCCTTTGAGGAGCAGGGCACCCCCTGGACTCCACTCACCTCCCCACTAGGCTGTCGGTGAGATCAAAGTCCACCTGCTCTCTGAATATGAGAAATGGGGACCGGACCCTGTGTCAGCACATGGCTTAAAAGATGTTATCAAAAAGGATGGGATGCAGGTGACCCTACAAGCTGGTCCTCCTCTGATCCCCTCCTTCCCAGGGCACATGCGGGCCCACCCCTCACTGCTCCCCTCCCCCGATGGTCCCCCTCTCCTGGACACCGGCCCTGAGGAGGCTCTGAGTAGAAAGAAGCTCCCTAACCAGTGTTTATATAACAACAACATAAGCATTTTATTTTTTCATTAAGCTTCTTAGTTTCTTAGTATCACAATGGAATGATGAGAAAACAAGAACAAAAAACCCCCCACGAGTCTGCAAATCTCTAACACAGAGCAGAGATTTCAAGGCGACTGGCGGGGGGACGGGCTTGACAGAAGTGCCAAACAGTCCGTCATGTTTCTCTTCAGCCGGCTGGGCCAGGAGTGGGGAGGTGGAATGGAGAAGGTGGCACTGTCACAAACTGTCCTTGGCGTCTGTCTCATGGCTGACACATGGATCTGCACGACCAGCCCACAGGACCTGCCGGGGCCTTGCGGGTACCTGGCCACATGACCCTCCGCCTGCCCCAAGTGCCCTGGGGTGAGACGCCCCC